TTCGAATGGACCAGTGAATATGAAGCTCATAAAATGAAGAGAAGTTTAGAAAAGAAAAACGAGGGTGGAGCAGCCCAACAAGGGAGGAAACAGTCAAGAAACTGAAGCTGAAGATCCTCGTAGTGGTACTAATTATTACTGACAGACTCTGGAGGCTCACTAGCTGAATAGGTAGTCCATAGAGATACTCCATTGTCCACTCAGAATCATCATCCCAAACAATTCATCTTGCAGCTACGACTCTACGAGCCTACGAAATAGATAGATAGATAGCACCAAGTCAATAACCTATCCAAGTCCTAATTACCTATGGGTTTTGGCGGCACTACAAGAAGACTAAGTGGCTACTAAGTACTAACAAGGTACTAGACCCTTCAGGCGGTTTGGGATTTGATCCAAAAGTCCCAGAAAGCTTTAGTTGACGGGAGCGGATGATGGACCCAGCGCTACCTTACTACTAAGGTACTAGTTAGTTGTAAACTAACTAGTAGTAGTACCAGTCTATACCGGTACTAGTTAAGTAAGTACCTACCTGGTACCTTGGGTTGGAAATTGGAATTCTACAAAGAAATTGAGGATGATCTGGATGACAATAATCAGGACGGTTGTCATAGGGAGTAAGGTACCAAAGGTATCGCTCGCATCTGTCAAAGGACTGCTTCTAACAATAGGTGCCCTTGACTGGCTAAATTTTGACGCAAGGTTCTGAGACTCAAGAGTCCAGACAGCGTACCTAGTAGTACCTCTACTCCGAGGATTGTACCTACTACCAGGAAAATGGTACCTATTATTTGCTATGGGTGTCGCGGAAATGCTCAGTACTATTATAAGGGACCTCCCATCATAGACTAAGTCATATGGAGTTCATCGACTGGTACCTTTCAGTATGTACGTACCTTAGTAACATTATACATTCTATCTACTCCGTAGTAGGTAGCTAATGAAACAAGCTGTTGTCAATCATCATAAACCCCACCGACTCACTTAGACCAGCCTGACCAGGTAGTATCTACCACAGGAGTACCAGGTAGAGTCAACATCAATAATTAACATCTGAAGAATAGACTCATAATGAAGATCTCTTATTTGTTTAGACTTCTTCACGAAAATATGCAGCAGAATTACTGCAAACTCCAGAGTGAAGCATGCCAGGGTGCTTGGAGGTACCCACCTCTTTGCTCTGTACCAGTGGTCTTGTTTCTTTTTTCGGCTCCCCTTGTCAGGCAATATCACGTGATGGCTGCCGTCGTCACCGTCCGTCTTATCATCAACGACAGTCCCTTTTTCCGTTGGGGCCTGCATACGTACCTTGATGATGATGATCAAGAAGATCCACTACTACTACTACTACTAGATAGATAGTCTGGATCACCGGATTACTGGACATCTAACTTCGACGTATTATTTGGGTCGCTCAAATCCATCTTTTTCCTTCCTCGTTTTTGTTTCTACCACATATCTACAGTCCAGGCTTTCTCTCCATCACCTTTTCGGCCTTTTTTAATCTGTCCTACTCCTGCAGGCTATCTACAGCCTCTCCGCTCGATAGTCTCTCCTTTACTGTCACGTTCCTTGCATTTCCTCTCATCATGATCATCTAATTACGGACCCCCTAAATCCATACTATTTGTCTTGTCTGTTTCTCCGGTGCGCTCCCCTAAGCGCCATGTTCATATTCTCCGCAGCTCCAGTCCCTGTCGGGTCAAGTATCTTCTTTGCACTGGCCCTCCTCGCCATCTCCGTTTCAGTGTTATTGCTGCTCCGACGTTTCCTTACCCTGCGAGCGACTCCGGCATACCTCTTGGTTCCCGTCTTCCTGGCTCTCGCGCTCCCCGCCAGCGTAGTACTTTTAGTCCCAATCGATCTTGCATCCAGTTCTCGTGACGGAGGCGGCCCAAAGGCGATATGGCTTCCGGATCGTTTAATCCTGGTAGCATGGCGGATCGCCTATTGGCTAATTTTCGTTCTGACCTGGTTTGTACCACATGTCGTCCTGCTGACTCTGTCTCTGCAGAAGTGCTGATCATAGGTAATTGTTTTCCTGCAGGGCTATCCTCCCGCTGCTAGGAGAATATATCGATTCGGGCTATCGTGATACCAAAGGTCGCCTTGTGTACTCGCTCCGTTCGAATGCTCGCTACCAGCTGATCGTTTTATGCTGTGCATTTGTCGGTCTGATCTACATTTCCATTCAGAATGGCTTCGAGTTCACCTCGATCAAAGCGCTTGTCATGGCCTTGGCCTATGTATGGGGTCTTGTGCTTGCAATTTATTCAATGGGCCATGGCCTGGTTTCCATGCCTCGCGCGCTATTCCGCAACGCCAACGTCAGCGGCAGGCTACGCAGGGTTCAGGCCCATGCACCTCGATTGCACGACCGACTTATGGATGCCATCAATGATCTCGAGAGCCTCGAATCGCAAGTGACTCAATTGCAGCAGCGCAAAACTGGAACCGCTCGAGATTTTCAGGATTGGATTGAAGAATTGGCAGAGACATCCAGCCCCGTCGAGTCGCGATCCGCTATTCTGGAACCCTCCAGTGTGCAAGGCACCGTTCCTCCGGTCATCACAGAACGCTACATGGCGGATCTGACCCGACGCCTACAGCGCGCTCGGCACCAGAAGGCTCGCTTTGTCGATGAATGGGATCGTCTGGTTCTGCTCGCTGCTGACTTGCAAGCAATCATCGACTCTTCCGCATCTCGAAAGTTGGACTTTAGCCAGTCGCCCCGGCGTTCGACTTCTCTCCCACGCATGAAGGTTTTGACCCCCTACATGCGGTACCACCTGTATGTCAACGTCATTCCCAGTCTGCGGCTCGTTCTGGGTGCGCTTTGTGCGGTCGCGTCCGTCTGTGTCATCTGGTCAGAATTGATCAAATCTTTGGCTCCCCGCTTGTCTGTCGTGACACTCTCCGTCGTCTCGTATCATCAAGATCCAAAACCGGTGGATTTTGGAAGGCAGCTGGCCGCTTCCGCCTGGTTGCTGTACATGTGCGCTGCCGCTCTTGTGGGTGTCAATGATGCCAAGGTCTGGGGCAATCGTGCCCTGGTTCGCCGAAACACTTATGGGGAGAGCGCGTGCTGGTACGCTAGCCTAGTTGCCAGGCTTACCGTCCCAATTGCTTACAACTTCCTGACGTTCTTGCCGCTGAGTGTACGACAAAACACTATTTTCTATCATTTCCTCGGTCGGCTCATTGATCTCACGCCCCTAGGAAAGGGATTCGATTATTTCTTTCCGGTCTTCATTCTCCTGCCCGTCTTTGCAACGCTCTTCAACCTCTACGGACGAATCAAGAATGTGTGTGGCTTGGGTCTGATTGAGGAGGATGACAATGAGTTGGAGAATAACCCCAGTGGCTATGGGCTCGGCGGTTGGAGAGAAGGCCGCGAACTCATTGATCGAGAATTGAACGGCCTTGGATCTTTGGCGCCGTCCTCCCGTATTGGACAATCGACCTGGCAGTCGAGCCGTAACGCCGATACTCCAGGATCCCTATCCTCCAGAACACCTCGGGCCGATAGTGCTCGACCGTCCCGGCCTCTCAGGGGCCCTCCTGCATCCTCCGCTGTTCTAGATGGCGAGGAAGATGAGGAGAATTTCTTCCAGTCTTTTGCGCATCGGGTCAAGAATACTTTTGAGACCGCAAGCAAACCTCAATGGCTTCAGGGCGAACCCTTCCGCCTTCCGAGATGGATGACCAATGACGGCGCCCAAGGAAGTAATGGTCTCGCAAGATTGTTTGGTGGTCGCCCAGCTGATGGTGGGGTGAGACTTTAATAAGCCCGTATTCCCTCTGTGTGTTTGTACAGTATCCTGCATCGCGAGGGCGTCTGACTGGTCATATATTTCCCTTGATTTATATAATATGTAGATTATCAATTTAGCAGTCGATAGATTGTGGGCTGATTGTGGGCTTGAAAACTCAAGTGCATGCATTTGTTCGTCAATGTGAATTGTTTGTGTCTGGTGATAAATATTTCCCAGCGGTGGTACCTGCAGAGACTTGACACACACATACACAAACCCCATCCACAGCATTAGATCAGGCGTCCTTAAATCGAACATCGATCTTGCTCTCAGTCTGGAGACCGTAGTCTGAGAAGAACCAAGGCCAGTTTGATTAAGTTGGCACCACGATTGTTGCCTCCAACTTTTGCATGCTGTGGCGGCAGGCGGCAGTCAGAATGACCGCCTAGCGCTCCGCCTTATAATTTGCCTACTCCGTGTTATGATGGTTAGATCTAACCCAGATAAGACAGATGAGTAAGAATGAGATTATCAATTTAGCAGTCGGTAGATTGTGGGCTTGAAAACTCAAGTGCAAGCGTTTGTTCGTCAATGTGAATGAATTGTGTGAGGATAGATATTTCCTGGCATTGGAACCCGCGCAAGGGCTTGACCTACACATCACATACACAGCATTAGATCAGGCATCCTTATTTTGAATGTCGATCACGCCCTCAGCCTGAAAACCGTAGTATGAGAGAAAACCGAGACTAGATTGACTGAGGTGGCCCCAAAATTTGTTGCCAACTTGCCTCCAACTTGTGATTCTGTGACTACTGTGACTACTGTGGCTGTAGGCGGTATGCAAATGAGGGCCTGTTGAGGGCTGCGCGCGGTCGACCTGGCTGAGGCCGAAATCAGCAGACCGCCGCTCCCAAGTAAAGAAGGGTCAATGTCTGAGGATATAAATGCACTGATTTAAAGCAAATATTGTTAAATTATGGGCTGGGATCCGATCAAAACCTTGGTTTCAGGATCAGATCGGATGCTTGCTTTAGTGACTTTATATAGCATGCGCAAGATTCTAAGACTTAATAGCAAAGTCCATTTTTCATTTAATCTGATCTTCTAGTCAGTAGAACTAATGTGAGATGTGTCCACACTCTTGATAATAATATATATCAGCGTAACATATAACCTATACATGCTTTGATTAATCCCATAATGTTGTCCATAACAGTATACGTCAAATATAGCAAATAACCTTCAACATTCTGAGTCAGTATCGAGGTCAGCATCCGAGTCAAAATGGTCTTCCTCTGATTGATACGGTGAAAGATCATTATCAGCGTCATTTTCGTCTTCAGATTGATCAGCATCAGCTCCGGTGGGCTCATCCTTTATATATAGCTTAGCCAATTCGAAAAATTCTGCCGAAGGAATCTCCCTCGTTCTGACTCCGTTTTGCTGATTAAACTTATATCTTGCTACTTGCGCGATTGCAAGTCTGAGTTTGGCCTTGGGAGTTTGTGCCTTTTGATATGTCTTCTTCGCCCTTCGGACCCTCTGATAATGCATGGCTTTGGGATTCTGCAATGGGTCGGCCTTTCTTTGGGCTGTTCTCTCAGCAGCACATCGCTTTGGGTCCTTGGGCACGCTCTTTGGCTTTGGTGTCTTTGCCCATCTGGCCCTCGTCTTGGTTCTTTGCTCAGGGGTCATGGCAGCCCACCATGCCTTGTGTTTTGCCTTGAGTTTTTCTCGATTGTTGATTCGGTATGTTCGTCTCCGTTCCCTTTGCTTCTTCTTCCTTTGCTCAGGGGTCAGGGCAGCCCACCATGCCGCGTTTGCTGCCTTTTGCTTCTCCTTCCTTCTCTTGTCCCATTCCGCCTTGGCTTCATCGGTCATTTCCATTTGTATCTTCGTCCTTTGGGATTCAACAAGGCAGGAATGGGAGCATGCTCCCTTCCATTCGAAAGGTGTCCCATATGGGCATGCATCTTCAAGGATAGATGCTACTCCACTCTTGTATGCGCCAAGCATACTGGAAAAAATCCCCTCTGCTAGGAGACATACTCGGCGTGTGAACTGCATATTTGCAGTAGAGAGATTGGATGACCATGGCATTAGGAAGAGCGTACCGAACCTCATGGACTTTTTTACTCCATTTTCATGGAGCATGAGTCGTCTGTGATAGGATGTTTCGTCTGGACTGACTGACTTTTCGTGATCTTGTCCTCTCTGTTTTAAACCTCCCCTGACCCCGGTTGCGGAGCCAACATATATATATGGCTCTTTGGCCTCAATGACCTTGATATACACGCCGGGCTCCGAGGTATGCTTCCATTTGATGGCCCTTATTTCTGACAATGTCGGAGGGTCTTCTGCATTAAGCAGTTCCTGGACCTCCTTTGGTGTGAAGGACACCATCAATGCAATGATTTCTCCGTTGTCCCATTGGGTTAAAGTCTCTATCCACGCCTTTGTCATTGACGATTTTCGGATGATGTCTAGCGTCGTTGACAATCTAGCGCGGAAGTTATCCATGATGATTGCTCCCTGACGCTTCACGCCGTATTTAAGTATAATTAAGATGGAATATAATGAATCAGATAGACAAGCTTCCGATGAGATGGGGAGAGGTCAGTCATCAGTATCCATTACCGGAACGGGAATCGACGGAATACTATGCCTGGGTGCCTGAGCATGATCTGTATATGGCTGTCAATAGACACCTTTACGCTCAAGCTGCTACACATTAATGTCTTTGTTAAACTGAATTCATGAGGCATGCAAAGGGAGGTTTTAGGGCATGAGTAAAGCATAATGGCCATGGTCAACTTCATCTTCGTAAATCATCAATCCAGTAGCCAACTAAGCACTGGGTCCAATAGTCAGTCTGTCTCATCACATATACTGATCAGAAAGCGAACATCATTTAAAGTATCAAATCGACCCATACTCAAAGGCTCAATCACAGGGCCATCTTCTGATCAAAAGAGATGAAGTAAACATGCCGAGATTAAAAATAGGCTTGGACATGCAATCAGGGTATCTCTGACTCGGGTGCCTTGCATACTAGTATAGTGTCACTTATGGTCAGGTTCCATCAACCCTTCTGTAATCGGTCAAGGCTAAATTCATCCAATGCAAGAACATCAGTTCAAAGAGCCATTGCGTGAGATTTCCCATAATTTATGGCAAAGATCTCAATACCCTGTGACGCTATTGAGGCATAGCATTTGCTGACTTTCCCATCCACGGATGTACTCTTCTCTCTCGGTCTCACTCACAGATTGGCCTCAGGTGATAGAGTCCCTCCATGTGATAAGCATGGCTTACATTGATTTCAGGACGAACAGTATGGGTTCTGCTGGTGCCACGGATACTTCGGAGTCATTGACTACCTAGGGGACCCCGAGAAACAACATACAATGATACAACGCTGTCCGGATCGGCACATTGAACTATTTACTACTAAGGGAGGAAATATGGTCATTACATATCATCGTCCGGTCTTCCGAAGATGGGGAAGAATTCCAGCAACGACAAGCGATTGATTACAAACGAACTCAACAACACGATTGTACAGAGCATTAAATGGATGGGAAAGGTCGAGATAAGAAGAGATGTGTCTGAGGGAATCAATATAGTAAATCTATATGGGATGGCGCATACATGACCAACCAGAAACTTCTTTTGGTCTTATGAACTATGACTATACTGCCTCACCCAAGGCACGCGGCGAAGCGGAGCATGAAGGGCAGCAGCAAAAGACCCTAAAAAGAATGGTAGCATTCAATCTGTTCTTTCATCCAGCAGTAATTTCTTGTCCAGGTTGGTGATATAGGGCAAGTCAATATTGCCATGGGTTGAAGCATACGATCAAGTATTTAAGTATGAAAGTAAGTATAGAATTAGGCTTTTTGAGCAAGTCAGCGACATCTTCGGCTGCTAGCTTGAATTTTGAAGGCATTGAGGGCTTCGGGATGGTCACGTGTTTTGACTTTCCAATGTACCTATAAAGAACTTTAAAAAGCAAATAAGTTGCTAACCCCTGATCTACTTAGGTAGTTAACCTGTACATACGAGGTCTTTTTTGACCTTTTCCTTTTTTTTGATAAACTCTGGGTCCTTCAACATGACTCACTTGCACCCAGCATGGATTCAATCATGTGCTCCAGAATTCTATCAGCCTCGAAAACGTCGCTAACCTGCGGCTCTTCGCCGTCTTCAAGGTAAACCAACTTTCCGTCCCTAACACGCCATCTGGTGAGTGATGCATGGGCGCTAATAGCTTCCTCATCGTCCGTCGTAAATGTCAGGTCCGTGATTATTCCAGGAAGGGCCTTGGCCATTCCCCTTTTACGAAGCCAGCATTGGAACGTATTGTCGGTCAGATACTCATAAATCAAAACGATTTTGGTTTGTCCGAGGCGACAAACCCTGCCAATTGCTTGGTTGACAACACTTTGGGAGGTCGGGGGCGAAAATAAATGCGCATTTCGACACTGCTTTTGCAGATTCAAGCCCGCTGACGAGATGGAATATGTCGAAATCAGAACCATACACTTCTCGGGTTGCATGGTAAACTCTTCGATTAACTTCGTCCTTTCGTTCACGTCCAGCGCGGCATGCATAACGCCAGCCTCTATCCCAATTTCGTTCAAACACGCTGCGATGTATACCTGCTCGGCAGGCCACATTGTCCACACGATAGATTTTTCATTGTGCAGAAACACCTGATCGCGGATGATGGGCAACATGCTCCGCATTTTAGGTGAGCCACGAAGAAGAAACTCGAGATTAAATGTTGGTCGTACCGCCTCTTTCGACGCCTTATAGGCCTTCCTGTAAAAGGCTGCCACAGAGCTCTCAACGTCCAGGGGTTTACCCTTTGCGACGGCCTCCATCCAGCGCTCAACCAAGGTCCCCTCTCTGAGACAGCGCAATGCCGCGGGGACGTGGTCGGTCGTGAGACTTGACGCAATCCACTGAAACCCTAGCCAAGATGAAAAGAGAGTCAACTTCCTCAGGCGATCCATGTTCCAGCGGTACTTGCTTGGGTCGTTCTGGTCCTGGATGAAAAGACGCCGGCGGTATCTGATCTCCAGTGCTTTATAAGTGAGTTCTTCACCATCGTCCAGGTTGCTGGCGATCAGCTTCCGCTTGTATCCAGGAATATCATGACCAATCGTAATTCCCTTAACAAAAGGAATACTTGAGCTGATGGTCCGCCGGACCATCAGCTGTCGCAGAATACTGCGTAGTCTTGTGCCTGCCAACTCGTCCGAGACACCGTTTGCCAACACGAATCTCTCCACCGCTGCATTGCTGAGGAGCAGGGTCTCCTGTGGATGGCCCTGTGGCAGATCGAACAGTGCCGGTGTCAACACTTCCGGCTTTATGTTCTGCTTTATGAACAAAAAGTCAATATATCCTCGGAAGTCGTGGACGCCGTTAAAGAACGGCGTCGCCGTTAGCAGAAGATTGAAGGACGTGTTCATCCATTTCGCTGTTATTGACATCTGCGAGTCTTTGTTGCGCAATAAATGCGCTTCATCAAAGACCGCCATGCTGAAAAGTTGGGACAGACATCCATCCCAGCCGTGTGGTGATTGAGACGGATCATAAGTCAACTTGCGCTTTTCACACCACTGTTTTGAGGCGGACGGGCCATGTCGAATCGTCAAAGTCTGATAAGTTGTTAATACTAACTCCTTAGCCCTGTGTAGTTGACCGTCGAAGATCTCGTCCTGCTTTGTCAGCTTGCCATTAATGACGAGGGCGTTGTGTCCGGCAGAGGCCCTGTAGTCGCCGTAATAAACCCAGAGATTGAACATGTCTGTCATCGCGCTAATCTCGCCAATCCACTGCCCGATCAATGTAGGGGGCACAACAATCAACATCGGCCTTCCCAGAGGAAGCGTCAACTTTGCCTCTTTTGCCGCCATGTATCTCTTCTCGAACAACGTGTATTGCTATACCTAGATTAGTCTGGAAAAGGATATCACAAGCAGCCTATACTTACGTGCATTAGAAAGCCTATGGCCTCCCATGTTTTACCTAGTCCAACTGTGTCCGCCAAAATCGCACCTCGCAACTGACCTGATTCCGCCATCACTGTGAGTGCGTTTATTGCGACTGGTTGCCAGAATTTTAGCATTGCGCCGGCATGCATGCTCGGTAGTCGAGGGTGTGACTCGGCGGGAATCCTAAGGTTGGCGCACGCTTGTTGATGGTTTTCTCGCTGGTACGCTTTATTGTCAAACCACTCCCTCTGTTTTTCTATCTGTCGTAGCCCCTCTTCCGTCAGTTCCATGACAGTGGAATCAACATTCACTTCTGGGAGCAATGCGTACTCCAGGTCTTCCTGGACATGGTATTTTTCGGGGTCGAAGACGTCCGTTGTTGATGGATCAAAGGCCTGATATTTTGCTTCCAGGGATTTCCGACTCTGCTTCTGAGGGGTCGTCATCACAGCAGAAGTTGCTCCAGCGACGACTTCCTCTGTTTCTTCGACAGTTGTCGGCATCGTCATCTCCTGATCAGAAGTCTCAACCGACCTCTCGCAGTTCTTGAGCGCCGTCGTCGTCAGTGCATAAAGCCAAAACTTATCATCCCAATTGAAAGTTGGGGATTGTCTCTGCAGACATATGCGGTTCTTCTCGCTTATTACCGCTTCCTGGAGTGCACTCTCCCACTTATCCCAAGGCTTGTCCGCTTCCTTGGGTTCTTCAGCGCTCTTGGCTGATTTCATAAGCAAATCAGTGTCCGAATCCAGGTGAGATTCATCTGTGGACCCTTCATCGCCTGTGGAGCCCGTTGTAGTCTGATCTGGATCACCGTTTCCCTCAGAGAATAATTTTGCCTTCTTCCCTTTGTCTACCCCTGATTTGGTTCGCTTTAGTTGCCCTATATAGTGTCAGTTGTGAAAGGGTTTCCTAGATACCCCTATATAACTTACCTCTGGTGGTGCCAAATATTGCAGTGCCTCCCCCTCCCTTCCCTATTTGGGACGGCGCATGGATGTGCCGCAGCCAGTCTTTCAGAGCCCAAATTAGGCGGTCAATATGGTCCTGAGAGCTCTGTGTTCTAAAATACACTCCCTGCTTGCTTGATGTGTTTTCGTGCCGCACCCAGAATAAAAAACAAGCGTAGTGGTCCGCCTCGTCCCACTCGGTTTTATCTCTGGTGAAAGCTGAATATTTTCGATTACCGCAGCCTTCTCCGGACAGTATTCTTGCTTGCACGATTGCAAGCCCTGGGCCTCGTTCTCCGCCCTTACGATTTCTCAAGAAATCGTTCCATAATTCTAGCCAGTGTGGTTTCACCATATCTGAGCGTAGCCATGCGAGCCACTCATTTTCGCCCACGAGTCCGAATGCCGCTTTGAGACGTTCTTTGCCTTTGACTTTTGGCTCAACTGTTGTACGTTAGACTAGTGCTCTCTGTAGGAGGCTTCTGGCTTACGCTTGATGGTTGCCGTGTCTGACGCGCCTGGCGTCGTCGTCGCGTAGGACACAAGAGGTGTGTCAGAGTCAGAGTCAGAATCCATAGCGGAGAGGTGATCAGAGGAGGAGGAGAATAAGAATTGACAGAGGGAGTGTGGGAGAGATGGAGGAGAGATATGCAGGAGAGAGAGGTGTAGAGGAGAGAGAGATGTAGAGGAGAGATATGGAGGAGAGATATGGGGGAGAGACGGAGGAGAGATAGAGGAGAGATTGAGAGAAATAGAAGCTGAGAGAAGCAGAAGATCATGGTAGTACTGTTTGATGGTAGTAAGTAATTAAGGAGTGAATTGCAAGTAAATTAGAAGTAAATTGGAAGTGAATTAGGAGTAATTAAGAAGTGAATTAGAAGTGAAGATATGTTTATTAAGTAGATACCCAGATAGTAATGATTAGTATATCTGAAGTTACTATTATATATCTAGAGTAAACTGTAATAAGCTATTCGAGCATAGTTCATTGAAAAGTTGTTAGTTAACGTAATCAACCACTGAACCGCGGATACCACCGAACCGCGGATACCACCGAACCGCGAATTTTCGCCGCTCTCTCAAAATATTTGAATACGCAAGTATCAACGCGTGCTATCCCTATCAATTTTATATAAATGTCTCAATCCAAAGAGGCCCGCATGCAAATGGCCATTTCTGCATATAAAAATCAAAAAATTAAATCAAAATCAAAAGCTGCTGAGG